TATTTAAAAAAAAAATAAATATTTAAACCACACCTTACCAACTCCCACCGGATAACCCAGATTTTTTTTGAGGGGGGGGGGGACTGCTTAAAGCATGAAAATGCCATACCCCTCATCAAAAATGTGCAAAAGAGAAAAGGAATTGCAAAAAAGATCCAGAGAAAGAAAAAAGGGACTCGTCCAAGGCAACCTCAAGGAAATATGTTTTTAATTATATATAGCAATATATTTCGTTTTTATTTAAGCTTCTATCAATATTATTGAAACAGAAAAGAAAACTCACATGGCAAGTACTTACCTTTATAGCTGCAATGACTCAAGTAACGCCCAATCCGCACGAAATCCCGTGTTCTGCAAGCCACATTAATAGAGTATAGTTATAATTTTTACTATTTTACAATTATTTAAACATTAAGACAAAAACTTTTACCCAAGCAATTAGAAATATATTGATTATTACCTTTTTACGACAGATAAAAAGAAGACGTGTTTTCGTTGTATTTGAAAACAAAGCTAGATTCCCTAGCTCAAAGCAAAACATGGACTACAACGACCGTCTGTTCATAAAAAGTGATTCCTTACACTTTCTGCAAACATGCTCAATCGTTGGATTCTTGATTTTCTTACATACAACTATTCCAGGGGCAAAAACGTATGAGAATATCTAACCCGCACGATTATGCGGGTTGGGTTTAAAGGGATATGTGTTCTGATATGATCTTATGTATGTAGAATGTAAGAAATACGCAAGTTAAGGTTTCTAGTATAGAATAATCTTCTGTCCTAGGCTTATTTCTTCAATAATTCTCACCACATATGATTTTATTTTTGAATCATATTCATATCATACCCAATATCATGTACATACAAATTTTTTATCTTTATAATTATTAAAAAGATATATATATATTAATCGTATAGATATTCAAGCAAATTATAAATATAACAATTTTAATTTTTGAATGTTTTTAATTTACTTTAAAAAGCGCTTTTTTTTAAAAAAAAAAGAAGAAAAAGAAGAGGTAGAAAATAATGCCTTGTTTCCATAATACAAAGCCATCGTTGAAAAACCTTTAACTTTCAAAAGATCATTTCAGCAATAGAGTATACAACTACAACATCATGATATAGGCACATAATAAGATTTATTACAGTTCATCCAGATATTCAAGTATCTAATGGTGTTTTTATCGGATTTATTACATTATCGTATCTGGTAAAAGTAATTTTTTTTTTTTGAAAAACAGATAAGTTAATATGTGAAGAAAGAGGTCAATAACCCAGTTTGTTTTCAAATTAACAAACAACACTATTATCTGAAGTTATTATGTCCTCTGTTTTTAAAAACTAATTTTTTTTCATTGTTTCTATATTTGAATATTTTCTGTGTGTGTGTTTAATTATTCTGTCTATTTTATGTTTGAATTTATTCTATCTTCACGTAATATTAAAAGAAATGCTAAAATTCGTAACATTTCTCTACTTACCTTATAAATTCTGACATTATTGGGATTATACTGCCGTATAGAATTCAAAATATATGTTAATATATTACTAACATCTATTTTAATACCAGATCTTTTTCTTCTGCTTAAAATATACTTCATATTTCTTCTGCAGAAATAATGTTTCTAAAAAAAAGTTATTTTGTAAAATTGTATACATATAACTAGTGTGTCCTCTTCTTCAAGGAAGTGAAGCGAAATTTTTTTTGAGGATTTCGAAGGCGGCAATGATCTGGCCCGTTCTGTATATTTCTAGACAAAGCATTTTCGTATCCGTCCCTACGGAACGCAAAGCAAAGGTTCCCTGACACGGATTTATAGCCCAGTGGTAAGGAATTCGACTGCAGATCGAGAAGTCTCCGGTTCAAACCCGGGTGTCCTCTTCTTCAGGGAAGTGAAGAGAAATATTTTTCTGAGAATTTCGATGGCGGGAATGATCTGTCCCGTTCTGTATATTTCTAGACAAAGCGTTTTCGCATCCGTGATGGTGTGCGCACGCATCGTAAAAATTTACCCTCATCCTATTTCTCTAACGCCCCAAAAGAAGTATAACTTAAAAAAAAAAAGAGTTATATATATACCTGTTGGTGTGTATCTAAAAATATCCTTGCGCTCTTAAGCTCTGTTTTCTAACATCAGACAAAGAAACTTGCATGAAAATTATCTATTATTTTAATTAAGCATATGAGAAAATGTATTTTTTATTATTAATACATAAAATATCACACACACTAGTGTGCAAAACTTAAGCAACAATGTAAATTTTAAGCAGATAACCATGAAATTGCTGACAAGAGAGAGAGGGTTATTGCGATCAGTACAAAGAACACGCAATTCATTTGAAAGGTAATGGGTATGCAAATGTGTCAGGAACAAAATGTCATAGGTGATGTGAGTGTACGCAAAACACATACGGTCGGGGCGCGCAGCTCACGACTACGATCAAAGAGGAACGGAGGCTCAATTAATGAAAAACTCACACAGGCAAGCACTTTTTTCCAATCAATTCCTGTTCCATAACTTCAAGGCAGCGAATAGAGTGTTAACTCACTGATTCTCTCTTTTAGTCCACTAATTAGGAAGCTCCCTCTTAATCCAGGCCTCTCCACTTCAAGGCTCAAATATATTTCGATATGGGATGGAGGAACGTTTCGCGTTCCATTTCACAAAGATGTCAAGCTTTCAGCTTTCAGCAATTAATGATATTCGCTGAAAGTGCAAGTGAGTTCTTTCGTAAAATATGGGTAGAAGAAATCACCTGGACGACTTCACACTTGGAAGAATGATCGGAAAGCTGAAGGAGGGGCGTAGTCTGACCAATGTAGCTGTTCGGAATCAACAAAAGTGTCTTTTGGCGAGCTTAGTAAGCCTTCCAAACTATAAGTACAGCTGTTGCTGGTGGCCTCCCTTGGAAAAGAACTGCAGTCGATGACTGATATATCATCCTGCAGGTGAAAATAGCCTGATACCAGTCAGCAAGCACCATTGCTTTCCAATTGTGTACAGCAACAGGGTAACAAGTGTCGTACTTTACTGTGGCCAGATGTCTTAACAAAGGTGGTCTATTCGCCCCCCACCCTGAACTCAGAATCCCTTTTAAAGTTGGCCATAAGCT